CCCCAAAACCCCAAAACCCCAAAACCCCAAAACCCCATTAATCAAAATAAGCTTCAAATCCTTTAAATTATAAATCCAATAAATGTTAATTATAATCATGATCAAATTCTGAAAGTGCCTTCTCCTCCGAGGCTAAAATGAAAATTAGGAAACATCGAGCCTTTATTGGATCCATTAGAATTATTAGATTTCATCTCTTAATCTTAATCTCCTGATAAATAATCCAAAATCAATTCTGCCTATTATCCCAAGTCAGGGATCATATCATTCTAAGCAATTTCCTCAAATATCTCAATAGCACCTTCTTAGATAAAGATTCCTCTAAGATCCCCTAATCTGCCCATATTTAGCTGTTGTCTAGAATTTTATTCTAGAATATCAATTATTACTCGAAGTACTTTCACCATAACACTGTAGCCTTGAGAATTGTGTAATTTGACTTGGCTTATGAGGGCTTAGATGAATATGCCATTTTTGTAGGTAGCAAAGGTGGAAACCATATCTGAATCTTCTTAGAGAAATTGGAATAGTCTTATTAATGCCATCAAAGCCTTCTGTTTTTGAGCTCTTAGTCCATTCTTTGCAATGATCATAATTTGATCAAACATAGGTTGCTAAATCAAACTCTTTACAGTAGCCGAATCTAACCCTGTCGCCAGGTATGATAGTGTCTAAAGTGCATCCTCAAATAGTTGGGAATTTTTATTGTTCATTAGAATATTGATCACTATATTTAGAATGTCAAACTGTGTATACTTTTCTACAATTGATTTTTCCTAAGAAGTACTTATAATGTGACCGATGCATTTGAGACTGGGCAGAATAATCATCATGTTATTTTAATTAAAGCTCTCAATAAATTTCTCCATTATAAGCTAAAAAGAATTCTAAACTTCCAATATTCTGATTTTCTATTTATCTCTGTAAGAAAGTTACTTTGCCATAGAAATAAGTATATCTCTTGTCATAATCTTATCAGAGTCTGCATCCAGATAAACATTAGCTACATTACACAGCGAGATGAAATTTTTTTCATCTAAGCGATCATACTTAAGCAGATTGCTTACTACCCAGCAGATAGTTTCGAAGAGATTCTTGTGAATGTAGTCTTGCTCAATGATGGTACTTTCTATCAGTTAGATAACATTAGTTTGCTAGATAATCAATTCTCTGGCTTCATTACTGTCAGTTGTAACATTCCCCATGAACCAAAGTCCAGTCTCAAGCATTGGCAAGTTATGTGCATTTAGAAAAGTGAATTTAGACATATAGCTTAGGAATTTATACTTCTTATCAAGTAATTTCTTGAGATCTTAGTCTTTGGCTAGAGAAAGCTCAACTAGTATATTCACTATATACTTCTTCTGTAGATAGTATTCGTACATTTCAAACTCTCTTCTTAGTATTTTATCTATGAGTTAGAGCAAATTAGTTTTGTCAATCACTACTGAGATTCTCTCTTGTTCCAGACTTTAGATAAGAATTCTCACCTCATTAAGCTAACCTGCAATCAGGTTTTAATTTTGCCAACTTTTTTCCATACTGCAAACTCTCTAATTTAGTTCAAACTATATAATCAATAAGCATATCAATATTACAATTAATCCTTCGTTAGATTTAATAGCATGACCCATGCACATCAAAAACTCCTTAATAAAACAGGCCTCACTTTGCCGATATGATTATGAGTTTTGCTACTAAATTTTAGTCTTCTACTCTTTCAACCTAAGCCTCCTCTTAGTAGAAATCAAGGTATCTACTTTTTCTCTTCTCAGACTGATTTGATATGACTTTCTCTTGTCAAGAAGATCTCCATGTATTGCTAAACAAAACTCAATTAGAAACTTTAATTTACGATTCATAAACTTCTTTCTTTCCCTCGTAATTACTGTGTCCATTTTGACTGCTTTAGTTTTATACTTTTATACAATACAAATATATTTAAACTTTTAATGAATTTACTAGCTATTAATCTATGTTCGAATCTATTTTGACGGGGTTTTGGGGTTTTGGGG